ATTCGTGGACAAACAGAACTATTCGTCTTTCTCTGGGCGGAACAATTTCCTTGGAATTTATCCCGGAGACACTCAACTGCAGTTACACCGGCGTGCGGAATAGTTACGATGCCTTAGCGCGTGCGCAGCCGTGGATAAAAGGAGGAATCTCGACGTCGCGTAATCTCCGGGATTTATCCCGGGGGAAGTTTCTTACGGCTTCGTGTTGCCACGAATTCATCGGCCTCTGTAACTTCTTTGTCGTTCGGTCTTCTCAAGAATGCGTGCATTTGATATGAGGAAGATGTAGACAGCTTATTGTTAGTCGAAAAGCCATTTTGTCTGACAAGCAAAAGATTTCGTTCCCAGTCGGATAGGAAGATTTTCAAAGGAAACATTAAAAATCGCAGTGATAAGAAAGTGTAACACACAAGTGTAAGCTTGAGAAATTTTAATTTACTGTCAATACAAATATAATATACGTATATTATAAAGATTACATTGAATATAAAGTTTACGAAAAATCCGATAAGACAGCAACATTTTTAGAACGAGAAGTATTTAAATTATTATTTTAATATTAATTAATTAGTATTTTAATATTATATATATATATTTGTATTTTAAAATATATTTAATATGTATTATGTATTATAGGTAAATAATTCTGTTTAATAGTTAATGCATAATTTTTATTCATTTCATAATACGATAGTTGCGCAAGTCATCCGAATCTGTTTCACTAAGAGTATCATTATTTCTTGAAAATTTTAACGAGTATTCATTAAAACACCCGATACTTTAAATTCCGCACAAAAATACACAACGCAAGCACGACAATGGTCATTAATAATTCTGTCAATAACAGTCCGTAGTTTATTAAAAAATATTATAAAATTGAATATTGTGAAGAGATAAAAGGACGGTTTATTAAGTGAGTTGCATGGAAGAGTGGTCATTGTATAACACACACACACACACATATATATATATATATATATATATATATATATACGCAGACAAACTTGTTGCAATATTAGGGAGAAGCAAAAAAGCGAAATAAAATATACAGCTGAAAATGCGGGCGCACGAGCGGCAATAGATTTATTTTTGAAGGGAAAGGGATGAAATAAAATAAAATATGGTGATTTATCGTCTAACGTACAGGCGCACGTCAATTTGTTCCGCTTCCACGCGTGAACTGTCTCGTGTCGTGAGAATCTATCCCGCAGGATGCAGAAAACACGGATTGCATGGTCCACGCGATGTGCTCGTGCAATGGAATTACAAAATATGTCTGCACATTGCACACACGTGAGTGTGCGGTTGACGTGTCTGCACCGAAGATACGCCAATAATTGTCTGCCAAATGATATGACAATTATCGGGATCGATAGACAAGACCTCCCTGCTCGTACGGTACCATGAAATCGCACCAAATGACACCGCGTTAATACATTTTGCTTAAAAATGAAATATTAGTTTAGTTTTACTTTCTGTTGAAATAAATTAGTAGCGAAGTTTTGTACGATAATAAATCTGATTGTTATTTTAGTACAATATTTTATCATTTTAACATATAAATATATATATTTATTTATTTATTCTTCTCTTATAATCTGATTATTTATAATTGTTTGTGTGTATAATTTAATACTTTACAATCGTTTATTAACATTACAAAAAATATTTTTAATATAATATTAAATATGGACAATAACTTTATAATTTAAATTTAAGTAAAATTCTACTGTTATTTCTAAAATTAAAAAATATGAAAAAATTAAGATATTATTCGAAAAAGACATCTACATATATCAATTTAAATTCAGACATAAACTAGTGGAATTTTTCTTTCGCGTGCTTCCTATTTCATGTCAGTAACAAATTATATTTTCTACAATTCAATCTTGAGCCTAATGCATTGCCGTTATTTTGCAATGCAACTTGATAATTTCAAGAAACTATAAAATTCGAGAATTACACACATAATTCGCAATCGCAAATTGTCATAGTTTTTGTTCTGAAACATTGACTATTTTTATAATATTGTTTTGTTTTATGCCTCTGATATAAATTACTATACTTAGCAAGCATTAATTATTTCAGAATTAAACTTTTATGTAAATTATTGTAATATATTTGTTACCAATATTCTAAAGATTTTTTCATTTGAATAATGTTATATATGTATACAATAAAGCTATATGTGCAGTAAAATAATTATAGTTGAAAATAAAAAGTTTCCAATGAATTTAACTTAATGAAAAAACAATAGCTGACAAAATCATGTTGCTCGGTTAAGTAAACTGCTTCAACAGAAAATGATTTCCCTTGACATTTTCTTTAATAAAAACTGTTATTATAAAATAATGTAGTAGAAATAAGCAAACACTTGTACCGCGTATATCAAATATTTGTACAAGAAATGCATATAATGCAATATTCAATATAAATGTATATATGATATACAGGTAATGAATTTACAATATAATACAATATATATTATAATAATAATTAATAATCTAATTAACATATTACGTACATATTATATTTAAATACAAAAATAGCAAACAAAATACAAAATTATAATTCGTAAAAGCGACATCAATAACCTTCTAATTGTGCTAATAAAAGTAATAAAAACAATTATTTTATATACATGTTTAATAAAAGAAGAATTTACAATAATTAAAAATAATATATAAAAAATATATAACATATTCACTAAATTTATTGTACATTTAGAATTAATTATTATACCCGTATTTTGAAAACAAGAAAAATTGTCAAAGAAGCACTTTTTAACATATATGGTATTTGATAGAAATATATTTCTTTATAATGATGATAAATGATAGCATTTTTTTATATGATTTACATTATATTCCTTATTTATGTGTATAATTTACTCCAGAGGTAAAGAATAAACTTCGAGTGTAAAGGTTTGTAAAAAGAGAACTCGTCGGTGCACTTCGTCATTTCCTTTATACGGGCTGTAAGAGTCATCATGGTAGACGAGAAATTGAGGACGAAGAAGCTGCCGGTGCTGCTGTGTCGCAGAGCGCGCTCGCAATTAGGACGAAGACGAAGACTTCAGGCTACTCATTAACTCCGGCATGAACTGGCGAGCGAAGCGCATCAGTCGAGCTAAAGTCGAAGAAGTAACAAGCCGGCATCCCGCGCCGTCATTCGCGCACCGTTCCTTTTATTTCGCCGGAGTGTCGCCGGCAAATCTTATTTAAGGCAGATTTATCGCCGGCTCGGCACCGAGATCGAGGTGGGATATTACACCGGACCCGGATGCGCCATTCACAATGCGACTTCTCGACTCAAAAAGTGTCATAATTCAAAACCTGAGCGCCTCTTCGAGCACTTCCGCCGCTCCAGCACATCGTGTGCCAGAATCTGGTCCTTTCGTCGTCCTCTCCCTGCTTCGACCTACCTCTCTTTCATCTACCCCATCTTCTTCTAACATTTTACCCACTCTTTCGTATAGCATGGAAAGAGCAAATGAAGTCTTGAGTTTTTTTCTTAATATACGCGAGAACCATTTGAGTTAGTATCAAGAAGTCGGGAAATTTTTTAGCACATCTCTATTTTATCCGCACGATATTGCGCTGAAAATTTTCAACATTCAAATTTTATCAAGAGAAAAAGCATTCAATTTGCTCGATAATCTTTTTTAAAAATTACAAGTTCTAACAATATATAAAACCCTTTATATTTTTAGTCACATTAATTATTCATTGATGAAAGACTCGTATAAATTAACGAAATTAAAAGAAATAAATATTGTAGGTCTGAGATTTCAAGTTTTGCGACGTTTAATCATGCTGTGGAGATTTTACGCGAATTAATTAATATCAGAGAAAATTGAAAAATCTTGCAACTTACATTATTGTTTTAACAAGTTCTTCTTCTCGAAATTTCAAGTGTGTGTTGCGAAGTCTAGATAACAAATGTCAAGGTAGAGAGCGTGATGTACATATTTATTACCAATGTTTTTCTAAACTATGATTCAGCTAATTTTTTAAGTATGTCAAAATAACTACTATCTAGCAATTCAGTGTCTTTGTTTAAATTAATTCCATTTTTCTGTTCTTTAATATGGATCATTTCAGATATTAGCCTTTTATGGTAATTCTTTTCATGATCCATAATCTTAGTGTTATCCCAGTCAAATGTATGCTGTTCATTTAGAATGTGTTCCGTGACAACCGAATGCTTAGCAGAGTCTAATTTAATATTATTTTTATGTTCTTTAAGTCTCGTTCCTAACTGTCTTTTTGTCTGTCCGACATATGTGGCGTCACAATCATTACAATTCAATCTATAAATAACATTAAAATTCTTGGGACAATCGTTTCTGTCTTTTTGAACCCTTATGAATTGTTTCTCTAATGGAATGAGAATTTAATTATTAATAAATCTTTATATCTTATGTAAATTTTGCTCGTTAAATTGGCCTACAATATTTATTTCTTTCAATCACATTAATTATTATTCGATGAAATGTTATCTTATTTATATCGTCGACGTAAATATATAGTTCTTGCTGTCAAAGTACAACAAGCACTTCCAATTGATCTGACATAAAAGTGATGCTGCTCGACTTCTTTGTCCCGGTCTTCTCTGCCGCTACGTCATCTACGTCGATTCGATTCCCGGATATATCAAACGAGAAACTTGCGTAAGGAAGAACGCATTAAGAGAAATGGACCGTGGGAGGTAATGTTTTTCGGCGCACCGGAAGAAAATCCAGCATCGTGACGTGAGCGTTGTCGCATGGCGTGACGGAGTTCGATGCTATCGATCGCGGCCATCCTGATCGATACGCGCGCGTCGCCGAGGAACGAAAGAAACGAACGGGTCCGGCGATCCATTTTTTCGCTCTCCTTCCGCAACGAGCGGGCTCCATTAGTCCGAGATTGGCTAATGCGCTCGAACGAGCACCGCGACACTTTTTGTGCCGGCTGGACCGGTTGAATAATTGTGTTTTGCAACGTTCGCGGGAGCGCTTAGCTGAACTCCCTCGGGCATGAATCCAAAGAAGAATTAAGCAAAGGGGAAACTTGTGAAAAGCAAACCTATAAAAGGAACAATGGCACCGGCCGAATCGCGCAGTTTTTGGGACGATCGCAGGTCACGCGGATCGATTAGGCCTTTGCGCAAAGGAGGACACGAACGCTAATTAACGCCATGATTTCCGAAGTGAGTGTATATCGCGTGTTATACCCCGATCAATCCTGAACCACTCGTCAACTTTAACACTACTTCGTACAGAAGCAATTACTTGTATTAGTATATTTTGATCGTTTCATTGTTTAACGTTGCGATTAAATTGAAGCATGCAATTTTTATCTTTTCGTTCTTATATCATATGTCTAAAATGCTATTAGAGAATTTTTACGCTTTTACTTTATTTACAAAACTTTACGAAGGATATAATTGAACAATTATTTGATACAAGTAAATAAGAGTTTCAAAAGGAAGTTTGTATTATATATTTTGTCAGCTACAACCACATTCCATTACATTTTCATAACTAAATTTTATTATAGATTCTGTTCATTCAAGTTGTTTTATTTTTTTTGTTTTAGCTTTTTTGTTATTTTAACGTATCCTTATACCCTAACACGTTTGAATTCCATTCTATATTTCAATGCTAATATTCGCTTAATGAAAAGGAATTTGATTAATTGAGTTAACGTATCTATTGTTAAGCTCGTTCTATCCATATTGGTGCTTTCGAGCTTGCTTTTGATTAATGCAAAACCGGACGGATATGCACACTCCTTCCAACATTTTCACGGGCCAGTGATGGGCGACGAGCACGAAGTCAGCTGGAACGACGATCACGGACATCACCATGAGGACTACGTCGCTCATCCCCATTATGCCTTTTCGTACGGGGTCGAGGACCACCATACAGGCGATTATCACGGTCAAAAGGAGCATAGGAACGGTAAGATACGCAGTTTGAATGGAGATTAATCTCCTCTGCTTTAGGAGGATCCTTCTCGTCTTCTCGTATGTATCGCGAGCGGGAAGAATAAGAATAACCTACTTACGTACGCGGAATCGCGATGCCATGCTCCGAGGGAGAAAAAGCTGACAAATGTACCGAGGTGAACGTAGGACAGACTGATTGTGCGAATAAAAGTGGCAACGTGACCTTTGCTTGAGCAATTTTATAATGTTGCTCTTAGAATACTCAATGGAAAGCCGCGACACGGTAATTCTTTTAACTTGACTTACATGCGCTTTATCACTCGTCGAGCGATGTTAACAATATTTTATTAGTAATGTATGCAATTTTAGAAACGATTTTTTTCAAGAAATAAGAAAACTTGGACGTGGTTTTATTTTAATTAAAAATTTCAATATTCCGATGTTATTAAAAAAAAAAAATTATGAAATTGTTCTCGAAATATGATTTAATTTTCTTTTTTATTTCAATATTTTATGTTCCAAATAAAAAAGTATTATATAAATTTTTCTTGCAAATATGTATTTAAATTAAAATTTAAAAAATTGCTTGAATTTTCTTTTTAATTTATTTCAATCGCATTTATTGATAAATACTTAAAAATTTCCATTAATTAATCTCCACACTCTCTCCTTCATCTTTTAATCCGTATATCTCATTATAAAAATCGCAAAATGAACTTATTATTTTATGAATAAATTTTGTAAAGGTAAGACAAAAATTTTCGTAATGCAAAAGCAAATATCGTTTTTAGTGATTCAGTTTTTCACTGATATAATTTTGTAATAATATTTCTACAAAGCACGGCTCTTTTTTATACAAAACGAGATCATCGAGCGTCGTCAAGTTTTAAATGGAGCGAGAGATTTCGTATCAACGCGTCGAGAGAAAAGTTAGGAACGATAAAAGTGCTGCAAAAAACCATGCTTTAGTATTCCTGTCTTCAAAGGCAGACGCGCATTGGTTGAGAAATTTATAAACATATAAAGCTTATTGTTAGATAGCAGCTATTAATATTAGAATCTCTGAGCAATTACGAGAGAATGTACTGTTCCCACCCTCTCTCGCGGAAATATTAAATAAAATAACTAAGATTATATATATATATAAACAAATTCTCTTGCATTTTATCAAATCGAAATTTTAATTTAAGTTTAATTAATGTGCATTTTTTAAATTTGCCGCAACTATCACGTAACAGATTATAAAGAATTAATATTTTGATAGAGTAGAAATCCACAATTCGATGGTGGTTAAATGAACATAAATACATTAAATTGTAATTTATCAATTATTACACTTTATGAATAAACCTTGTTTAAATAATTACAGTGATTTAATGTTTTATGAGAGAAATATACATATTTCTACATTTAAATATTAATTGTATTAAATATAATATTTACGTAAAATGAAACACAAATAAAACATAAAGTATAAAAGATAAAGAATCAAAAGAAGAAGAATATTATATAATATAACTATTGTTATTGATTATTTTAACTTTTTTAATAAAACATAAAATAAAATATTCAAAGAAATAATCTTGAAATATATTATTAATACATTTTGCATTTCTCAATAATACATTTATCCAGATAATTGTTTCACTTTTTCCTCTCTTTTTCTCTGTAAGATTTTTTTATTTTTTTCAAATGAAAATATTTTAAATTTATATAATCGTGTGAAAAAAACATTAGCGAGATGTAATTATAGATTTTTGATAAGAGTGTGTAAGAAATGTTTTATGTTTCCGTATTGTACTCGCATAAATCTCAATTCGTCTCCATAAAAAAGAACGATAACGCGTGTCTCAAATATACCAACTTCGCGTGAAGTAGCGCGAGACAAATAACTTATACGTCGACATTTTGCAGGCCCAGAAGTGTTCGGGGAATATACTGTGAAGGAACCAGATGGCAATATCAGAACAGTGAAGTATCAGGCGGGAGACGACGGATTTCATGCTCAAGTGTACAACAGCCATCGACGCGATCATCATGATCACGATGATTATTAGTCTGTACAATTGAATACTATCTGCCAAACTTTGCTTTTTGTATTCTGAGTAAACTTAATTGTATTATATTCATTTTATTTAATACAATCGTTAAACATTTTACATTTATATGTTCCATTTTTTTAAAGAATAATAAAGTATTTTAATTTTTTGTTTCCATCTTTTTTAATGAAGATTCACGGCTATTTTCACGATAGCGTCATTGTCATAAATTGCCATTCAATATCGCTTTGAAGTTGTTGCGAAAGTTGATCAGTCGCACAATTATTGAATTAAATTCTTCTTTGGAAGAAATAATTATTTCTTCCGAGGAAATTTAGCCAATTGTAGCCGACAATATTGAATTCTTATTATTATGATTCAATTTCTAGATGAAACTGTTTAAAGTTTTTCAAAGAAACAATTTTTTTTTTACAAAAATGCATAATTTATTTCCTGTATTTATAATATTCTATATTAGATTCCCTCTGATTATAAAACCTGAGCTCTACATTATTGTTAGACAATATTTCATTAAAACAATATGCAATACTGTTTTGATAGAATTAACTAGATTTATAAATTATAAAAGTTTTCAATTACATAAATAATAAAAATCTTATATTTATAGAAACTCCGAAACTCTATTAATATATCTTATGCTTTCGAATGCAAATTAACACAATAGACCAATAATTATTTTTTAATAAATATCATCAGCAAACATATATTTTAAAAATTGAATATGTTTACTGATGATATTTGTTAAAAAATAATTATTGGTCTATTGTGTTCATTTGCATATATATGGTAAATGTGTCGAAAGCATGAGATATATTAATAGAGTTTCGGAGTTTCTATAAATATAAGATTTTTATTATTTATGTAATTAAAAACTTTTATAATTTATAAATCTAGTTAATTCTATCAAATTATAAATAATTATTAATTTAATGGAACAGAACAGGAAGAAACTTTGAGAGATACAACCATTTCAGCTTACTTGTTTCAACGCTCATATAACTCGAGCGCTACTCGTAAATGATTGCAACGTACCACAATGAAAGCATATCGCAAATAGGCATTTGGCAAATAGACATAATACTCGAAATTGAATTTATAACATGGCTTATGCACACTACATGGTATTTGCTCCAAATTATTTTCTATTCTCAGAAATTCATAACTGCAATAAAAAAACCAATATGCGAAAATAGCTAAAAGTTCTAAAAAAATATAATGTATTTTTAAAGTGGCAATCTGCTTGAGCTATTGTTGTTTCTACATTTTATAACTATTAATTAACTATTGTATAATGTAATATCTTTATCTAACAATAAGAGAAAAACACATCTCACAAACGTTATTATTTAATATTAATTAATCATCCTTTTCTTTTTTGGATAAAATTATATCCGCAGAATGTTAAGAAATAAATAATATTATAACATTTTCAACAATTGTTTATACAATATGCAAAAATATATCAAAATATCTTGAAAAATATAGCGTATATGTATGCACGAATATATGTACTGTGTTCGGGAAAATACATTACGTGTATAATGTGTCTCGCATAATTTTATCTCACATATATAAAGCTTATAGATCGCATCTTTTCAAAATACAATAAAGGTCCGTACATGTCGATATTCAATTTTCGATGTCTCCACATGTAATTTACATTCGGTGCGCACGACCGCTCGAACGATAAATCACTAAACACGACTGGGAAGAGTCACGTGATAAACACCTGATAACGCACTTTCAGTAACATGTATGTACAATATCATAGAAAATAGTAAACTTGCTAAGCTTGACACATAGTATATCTCGTTAATTGACGGTATCCTGTGTTAAACATCATAAATTGAATTCCGAGCTAGTGAGACAAGCTTAATTGCATTTCGATACAATAGTCTGTAATCGACACATATATCTCTATTGCGTATGTCAATGGCCGTACAATATCCTGACAAACTTATGATGAGCTATTTTCACTTGCGATTGCGTCGATTATTTATTATTATTATTACACAGAATAGTTTTCTTGAAAAAAAAAAGATTATTATATGAGACCTTCAGGGAGATATTTAATTATTCGGAATTATGTAATTAACAGAATAATGCAAAGTGTGGATGTAGCAATAAGACTAGTGGAAAAACTTGTTATCGCAACTCTTTATATCGAGATTCCTTATTCCGCATTCTACAATCAGAATGACCTAAACCTCTACTTTCAAACGCTGGATCGATAGTATAAATGAACACTGTTGTGTCAATATTGCAGTCGAATTTTTATATTTGTAATTCGTTTAGTTTTGACATCATCTCTCCTTGTTCTTAATACAATATTTTAATATTTAATATTTTTTCTCGTTCTTATTTCAATGCACATACGCAGCGTATAAATATTGTTTTAACGTACACGTGATTAAATGTGTGGCAAATATGAAGTAATGTAAAAGTAACGTAGAACGGAAGAATATGTCAACGATATGGAAATTAACACGTCGACTTCCATGCAGTAGTTGTCTATTCAGGCCATTACTTATAAATGTGTTCAGTTTGTATTAATTAAAATAATAGCTTTGCAACGTGATTCACTGATGGATCACGTACAGACTTTAAAAACTTGAATACTCGTGATTCCTATAGATAGATTACATAAATTCAGTGCGTATAGAATAGCATGATATAAGTAAATATGTTAAAAAAGTTGATAATACAAAGTGTTAAAAATATAAAAATGTGTATTAGAAGAAAAGGGTATACAATAATAACAGGTGCGTTAAAAATGCAGAGAGATTAGATGTTTTATTATAACAGTAGCAGTATTACTTTCATAATTAACCTTGATTAGTATAACGTTGAAAAACCGATAGAACTGGCAGAGCTACTTATTCAGTATTTTTTTATAAATTTCGCCGTTCGCAAGTTTCCATGTAATGGGTATTTAAATCCGAAAACTCGCTCGCGCTGTAGAAAAGCCGTGTAATTTCCAGTCCCTTGGAGAGAAAGTACACGCGCACGTTTTATATTCATAAATGCGTCTCCGTCCGATTACTGAATCGCGAAAGTTAAATGGCGTTATTCAACGCGACGAGCATCGCGACGGTTACGAAGAGTAACTCCTACCTGCTTTATGATGTTTCCGGAGTTGAGTTATAGCGAGGTTACAAGATCCGGAGCTATAAAAAATAACAATGTTACCGCACGTTGTATAGGGAAAAGAAAAGGGATAATACGACGAAAGAAACATTTTATCGAAGAAGTTTGAAGATTACCGCAGCTCTTTTTCAGTACGAAGTATTAAATATTCATACTTATAATTTCTTTTTTTCAAAATGATGTAAGGTATCCGAAATATTGTATGTAATATATTTATATTCTTGTACACATATTATAGTATAATGTATGAATGACATTTTCAGAGAGAAACGTCAAATGAAAACATTTTTCAAAAATATTTCAAGGTATTTTATTAAATTTTAAGAGCAATTCTTGTAATATTTTTTTGTTTAAATTAAAACGCATTTGCATTTACATTTTGTAAGGCAATATTTACTACAATGTATAAGAAACATAAAATAACGATTAGTAAATGTCATTATGTAAGTTGATTTTAAATATAAAGTTATTTAAAATTTTAAAAGTTTTCAATTAAGTATGCTATTCTTACTTATCTTTTCTAATAACTGTTGTTTTCTAACATAGAATGTAACTATAAAAGAAAGAAAATGCAGGCATTGATCATTTTATTATATAATAATTAAATTATAATAATTTTCACAAATATGTGAATGCGACAAAAAATTACAGATGCTGTTATAATATTTATTATTGGTATCAGAATTATTTCTATCTGAGAATAAACTGGGAAAAAAACGAGATATAACTTGTCAGTTATTTAATACGCTACAAACTAACTGTGTGTTGTTAATTCACCATTCTTATGAAATATTCCAACTCGGACAAAGAAAGTATCGCAGATTCTTCTTTATAATTTCAATGTTTTGTCAGAGAATGAATGGAAACTCGATGAATATAAATACTGACTTACGTAAAGTGTCGCACGGTTCTCTACCTCATGCTTTGCCGTAAAAGTCACGCTAAGATGCATCTCCGGTATGTATCAATTATACTTCCCTTCCTTTTTCTCGAATACCATCGCATTCTCGAATCGTGATCGCATTACACATAAACGCGAACAGCCGAAAGTCACGGGCCTCTTCACTAGTAACCGCAAATTACGTTAGTAAACGAAATTCCCGTGCGAACGGGAAGTTTCCGCACGCCAGAACTTCCACGCTACTGCGTTCTTCGAGTCCTTTTTCGCTTCGAGGCTGGTCGACTATACGGAAGATAAATCTTTATTTAAAGTTTTCGCGATGCGCTGCTCCATAAGAAAACGTTGCACAGGTATTTTAAATGTTATCTTAACTGTCTTTACATCACTGCAAAAAAAAAACTATTTCAGTTTACTTTTTCCTCTCCTATTCTTTCGTGTTGATATTCTTCCTGAAGAAGATAGAACAAAATTTCTTATAAAAACGAATATTAAACACATTTTTTTATAGCTAAAACTTAATATTAAATCATTTTTTTTGTTATTAAAATAGTTTGCATTAAATTATAAATTAGTATAATATTTTTTTAATATTATAATTATAAAATAAAAATTGTATACTAATAATAAATTATTAAAGTATTAAATAAGATTTTAAACAATACAGCAGCCTATTAGCAAACTGTCTTTAGCCTATTGTATCCGAGATAAATGGGATAACATATTTCTTGATAATCTTTTATCAAGGCTAATTTACAAATAAAAACATTATAGTATAATAACATGTTTCTACATTATGTATCGACATTAATTATAATAGCTTTAAATAAAAATCAATATTTTATATATATCCCAATCATTTTAAATTAACATATTATACACGAATACGCACAGGGAAGATAGTATTCAACACTCCATTTCACTTTCCGATATATGGTATTATTTATAACATTGCCGCTTGGCAGT